GCCCTTTGTCTATGTATACTCATATAAAGTTCTTGGGAGTTACATGTATCATCTTCCCTTATAGGAATATAAACAGTTTAACCTTATTGATTCCCTTATGACGTCTCTTTCATGTTTACCTTTTTATTCTTTTTTTGGCAAGGGAATTGGGGTTAAGTGACTTGCCCAGGGTCACACAGCTAGTAAGTGTTATATGTCAGAGGCTGGATTTGAACTCAGGTCCTCCTGGCTCCAAGGCCAGTGCTCTATCCACTGTACCACCTAGCTGCCCCTTACCTTTTTATTCTTTAGTCTTGTATTTGAAAGTCAGATTTTCTATTAAGTTCTGGTCTTTTCATTAGGAATGCTTGAAAATTCTCTATTTCATTAAATATCCATTTTTCCCCCTGAGCTGGAGGAATGAGAAAAAAAATTTAGGGTTAGGGTTAGTGTAAATTTAGTTAGGTTGGGTGATTCTTGTTTGTAATCCTAGCTCCTTTGTCATCTGGAATATCACATTCCAAACCTTCCAATCCTTTAATGTAGAAGCTGTTAAATCTTATGTTATCATGCCTGTGGCTCTACAATATGTGAAATATTTCTTTCTGACTGCTTGCCCTATTTTCTCCTGGACCTGGGAGCTCTGGAATTTGGCTATAATATTCCTGGGAGTTTTCATTTTTGGATCTCTTTCAGGAGGTGATTGGTGTATTCTTTCAATTTCTATTTTACCCTCTAGTTCTGGGATATCAGGGCATTTTTCCTTGATAATTTTTTTTTTTTAGGCAATTGGGGTTAAGTGACTTCAGGGTCACACAGCTAGTAAGTGTCAAGTGTTTGGTCTGAGGCCAGATTTGAACACAAGTCTTCCTGACTTCAGGGCCAGTGGTCTATCCACTGCACCACCTAGCTGCCTCGATAATTTCTTAAATATGATGTCCAGGCTCTTTTTTTTTTTATCATGGCTTTCAGGTGGTCCAATAATTATTAAATTATCTCTCCTGAATCGGTTTTCCATGTTAGTTATTTTTCTAATGAGATGTTTCACATTTTCTTCTATTTTTTCATTCCTTTGACTTTGTTTTATTGTTTCTTGATGTCTCATGGAATCATTAGCTTCTCCTTGCCTATTTCTAATTTTTAAGTAATTATTTTCTTCAGTGAGTTTTTATACCTTCTTTTCCATTTGGCCAATTCTACTTTTTAAGGAGTTCTTTTCTTTGGTGAATTTTTCTACATCTTTTTCCATTTGTCCTATTTGGTTTTTTTAAGGTGGTATTTTCTTCAGTATTTTTTTTGTGTGTACCTCTTTTACCAAGCTGTTAATTCTCTTTTCATAATTTTCTTGCATCACCTTCATTTCTTTTCCCTATTTTTCCTCTACCACTCTTATTTCTGTCTTTAACTCTTCCAAGAATTCTTGCTAGCCTTGGGTCCAATTAGCATTTTTCTTTGAGGCTTTGCTTGTAGTTGTCTTCACATTTCTTCTCTACCACTGTAATAACTTTTTCAGGTCAAGTTCTTTTTTTTGTTGTTTGCTTATTATCCCAGTTTATTTCTTCACTTAGAACTTTATGTTAAAGTTGGGCTCTGCTTTCCTGGAGGTGGGGAGGCACTGTTCCAAACTTCAGGATTTTTCATATTGCAGTTTTCAGAGCTAGTTCTGGGGGCTTGCTAATTTGTGGTGCTTCCAGGGTGGTGTGATTCAGAGAGAGATATGGTTACCACTCTCCTGGTCTGCACTCTGGTCTTTACCCAAGAAGGGTCCCTGGTTCCTTGTAGCCACAAATATCAGTGTTCCTCTTGGCCCTGGAACTGTGACAAGGTCCTCTTCTCTCCTGCAGCCTCAAGTGCTAGCTTTCTCCTTGCCCCTCGAACTGCAATGAGGGCCTCTGCTTCCTTGTTACCAATCACAACAGCTTCTTTCCATACCCTTGAACTGTGACCCAGAGCCGCTGGGAACTATTGGCAATAGAGTTGCCAATCAGCACCATTTGCACCCAGTGCCAGCCAAAGGTCCCCTGTAATCTCCTTTTGGCCAGTTGTCTGACCTCCTTACCATCTCTGTCCCGAATGTTAAGTGCTGCTGTCACAGCCACCTCCCTCTAGAATCTTAAAATGTATTGTTTTGGTAGTGATCCTAGTATGAATTTGCACAATTTCATGGCTTTCTGCATAAATGCTCGGCAGCTCTGGAATGGAGGCAGAGAGAGGATACAGTGTGATGGTTTCTCAGGGATTCTCAGATCAGGGATTAACAGTGTAGAAATAGTAGATCAAGGGGCTGGAGTATTTCTAGAGTGTAGCAAGTACCTTAATATGCCTGTCTATGGGGTTGGTAGACTAGTGAAACCAGAACAAGAGTGATGGAGTGGGAGAAGAGGCAATAGCTGGGAGACTAGATGGCCACAATCAGGACAAAGAGCAAGTTCAGAGGGAATGAAAGGATCATGGAATTCTAACTTGGAAGGGACCTTGAGATTATCCAGTTCAGACCTCTCATCTTCCACATACATAGACTTGAATGTGGATGGAAGGAGTAAATGTGTTGTGTTTCTCCTTTCTTCCCCACCTTTCTTCCTTCATTACTGCCTACTGTACCAGGAAGTAGTTAAGCCATTTGACATAACAGGATGTGTTTAAACCCTGGAAGCAGGGAGGAAGCACTTGTTCTTGTGCTCAGTCTTCATAGAGTATCCAGGAAATAAGAAAGAGGCCTTGATGGGTTTTTTTCCTTGTAAATGAGAAAAAATAAATGCTTATTAATTGAAAAAGAAAAGATAAAAAAGAACCTTTGTAAGGATGTCAAGTGCAAATGACATGTTGATGTGTTAATAAAAAGATGTGGTTCAGAGATCAAATGAAAGGACTCAGCTGAAATATTCCCTAAGATGAGATTTTTAATCTTTTTTTGTGTCAGTCATTAAATATTTATTACGTGTCTACTATGTGCCAGGCATTGTGCTAAACACGAGGGATAATAATTTTAAAAAAATTTTTAAGTTCTTGCCCTCAAGGATCTTATAATTTAATGGGAGAAAACAACACACGAAAGGAAACTGGGGGTGGGAAGAGGAGGAGGAAAAGAGAGTGCTGCTGCTTGATGGATTCCAGTCCAAGGAATGCAAGCAGGTGGGAAATGGTTGAAAAAGATGGCTGACAGGGTGCCCTCAAGACTTTGGGAGGAGCTTAGCCTTTTAATCAGGAATTCTTTGCTTCAGCCCTCCAGTCAGAGGGGCAGAGGATACTAAGGGTACTAATCAGGTGGGATGAGTACCAAAGCTGATTCAGTCTCAAAGGAAGGATGATGGGGTCTCCTAATGATAAGGTTTCCTTGGAGGCATGATGTAATCTAGTACATAAGCTCAATCTCGTAGGCAATGAATGTGCTAAGCACTATACCCATTTCATAGTGAAGCCTTTGGGTCCCTTCTCAGAATAATGTTTTTAAGTTATAAAGGAAACCTATTTATATTGAAATACAGTTATCATAGTATTTAAAAAGGCACGTATATCCCCAGATCTCAGGTTAAAAACCCATGTGGGAGAACTGGAAACTGAGCTCAAGACTGGAGACCAGGGCCTTACAGTGGAACAACAAGTGGAAAGCATCAGTGAGCCCAATAATTTTTGAGGAGCTGCATTATGGGAAATCCTTTGCTTAGAATCAGACCTTTGGCATTGAGAGTATGACCTGAAGGCATTAATTGGGAAATTTTGAAAACTTGGAGGTGGGGTTGAAAGCCTTTGTTGGTGTTTGCTTTGTTTTCAAAATTTTCTGTGTTAATTGTTTTATTAAAACTGCCTTTGAACTGGAAATTGAGGGGTTGCCCATCAGTTGAGGAATATCTGAACAAGTTGTAGTATATGAATGTAATGGAATACTATTGTTTCATAAGAAATGGTGAGCAGGCAGACTTCAGAAAAACCTGGAAAGACATGAACTGATGCTGAGTGAGGTGAGCAGAACCAGGAAAACACTGTACACAGTAACAGCAACATTGTGCAGTGACTAGCTTTGTTAGACTTAGCTCTTCTGAGCAATGCAAAGATCTAAGACAATTCCAAAAGACTCATGGAAAATGCTATGCACATCCAGAGAAAGAACTATTGAGTCTGAATGCAAATCAAAGCATACCATTTTTTCTTTTTTTGTTGATGTTTTTTGTTTTTTCTTTCTCATGGTTTTTCCCTTTTGTTCTGATTTTTCTTTTATGACATGACTAATGTGAAAATAAGTTTAATATGATCATACATGTATAGCCTATATCAGATTGTATGCATCTTGAGAAGGGGAGAGTTAAAGAGGGTGGGATTTAGAACTCAAAATCTTACAAAAGCGAATGTTGAAAACTGAAAATTAATTAATTAATTTTTAAAAATAAGGAAGGGGAGGGCGAACTGCCTTTGATACATTGTACCAGGATGCTTCCAAATATCAAGATTGTCACAGGATCCAGAGTAGGGACTCTGGGCCAGAAGCAGAGAATTCTTCCTCAAAAAAAGCCCTTCACACCAAAAGTAGTCCCAATATAAAGTGTTACAAAAACAGTCAAAAACAACAACAAAAAAAAGGGGGGGAGGCAGCTAGTTGGCCCAGTGGATAGAGCACTGGCCCTGGAGTCAAGAGGACTTGAGTTCAAATTCGGCCTTAGACACTTGACACTTACTAGCAGTGTGACCCTGAGCAAGTCACTTAACCGCATTGCCTAGCCAAAAATAACCAAACAAAAAAAAATCCACTTGTAACTGTTAAAATAACTATTAAAATCACTAAATACACCTTATGGAAATAATATTATGTCAGCCAAAAGAGACTTTAGGGATCATCTAGTCCAATCCTCTCATTTTGTAGGTAAGGAGATTGAGGCCTAAAGAAAGAAATGATTTGGCCAAATTCACCCAATGAATGAGTCACTGGCAGAGCTGAGAAAAGAATGCTGTTTCCAGTGCACTGTTTTTCCCACTGCATTGACACTTTCATTTTTTAAAAGTAGTGCTTAATTTTTATCTTTTTTCAGGTGATTAATAGCTAAAAATTTGTGCAATGGACAATACAAAAGAGAATAACAATGACAAAGAAGGACTTCTGCTTAGAATGGGACTCAATGACAACAAAGCAGGAATGGAAGGATTAGATAAAGAGAAAATAAATAAAATTATTATGGAAGCCACCAAGGTATGTTTTTGTTTCTCTTCATTAATTTCTTAAATAAAGATTGTTAAATAAATAACATATAATATGTAATATATTAAATAATATATAATAAATTTTATGTATATATAATAAGTAAAATAATAAAATTGTTATTTTTAAAACAAAATAATCAGAATTTTTACTCTCATTTTAAAAATAAGAAGTAAACTTCAGATATGTTTTAAAGCAGCTTAATTTATTCTTTACATTATTGTTGTTCCTGTATCTGATGTAGTGCTGAGCACATAAAGGATCGAACTGAATGGAATACTCATTTCATTATGTATTTTTGGTGGTTTTAACGTAACAAATTTTGATTACTTAAGTAAGTCATGGCTTAGCCCATCCTTATTGATCTGCATCTTTTGTTCTCTAAAATCTAGAATAATTTGCAATCATTTTATGTTGATAACATAATTTGGTTAAAGGTTTATTGATGTTCATCTGTGATAGGGTCATTAATTATCCAGTAGTGCTATGGAGATACTGGTGAACATTAGCAAAGGAAGGAATAGATTGTGAAGGGCTTTGAACTTAGCTGTGCTGGATTAGGTTGTATAGGGGACATAAGAAACCAGTTAAACTTTATTTTATTTTATTTTATTTTATTTATATCTCCCTATTGCATCCAGAGTGAGATCAGGACTCATAAGTCCCATCCTAGTATTGATCATCAAGGAAGTTTTATATCTCCTTATCACATCCAGAGTGAGATCAGGACTCACAAGTCCCATCCTAGTATTGATCATCAAGGAAGTTTTAACCTGCTCTGTTTTTGCAACCTAGGCCAGTCAGACCCTAATTAAGTAGCCTGGTAGTTTTCTGCTCCTGAGGGTTCACCATATTGGTGCAGGCTCAGTGCAAACACACAATAGGTGTTAGCCCTCCTGCCCCTCAGTATTCCCAAACTGTAGCGACCATCAGCCTCAGCCTCCCTAGCAACAAGAACTACAGGGCATGGGCTACCACACTGAGCTGCCAGTTGAACTTTGAAGATTATGTAGGGATAGTAAATCTGTCAAAACTTGGTCATATGAGCAATAAGAGAAACTCTGGGACTGAAATGAGTGGGAAGAGAGAGAGAGAGTACTAAGGGAAGAGTAGATAGTGACAGCAATTTCTGTATCAGGACCATCAGCAGAGACACAGCTGTAGTCATTCATAATGCTGTCATAGATGAAAGGATCAAGCAAAAACAGGGTAGGAATTATGGGGCTAACAAGAAATATGGCAGCAACAAATTATTTAATAATGATTAGGAGTCAAAGAATATTGGTGCCAGGCAGTACATGAGAAATTGGAGGACTTAGGACAGTTTAAGCAGTTTCTGGTGTTTAATTAACTTTTTTTGCCCAAATAACCATTAGAGATTGGGGACCCACAGATACAGACCCTTCAATCAGTAAACACTTATTAAGTGCCTACTATTTGCCAGGCACTGTGCTAAGTGCTTAAGAGAGTAATTCTTTGCACAGATACAGTTCTTAGCTCTTTTGATCCCAGATCAGTTACCATATTACTTATTCTTGTTTCTAGGGATTGCTCAGTTTTGCTCATTTGCTTATCCTCTTTATTACCAGTGTATATTTCTAACTTGTGCTTGGGCTTATCCAGCCCTACTGCTTATCTGGCTGTAATCTCTGTCTCTTTGCCCAGTGTCCCTTAAACACAACATCCTTTTATGTTTTCTAAGAATTTTTATGGTAAGCAACTAGATGAGATCATATTTGGAAATAAACAAATAGAAAAAGTCCAGAAGTAACAAATTAAATTTCAGAGATTTACAGAGTAATGTCCCTGGATCTTGATTACAAAGTTTAGTTCCAAACCTAATTTTTTCCTTGGGGCTTTAATATTACTATAAAGAGTTCTATCAAACCTAGACAGTGCCTAAGAAGCATTGTCATTTTTGGATCATAAATATAGAGTTGGAAGGGATTCTAGAGGTCCTGTTTTCTTATTTAAAGAAGAGGGAACTGAGGCTCAATGAGGTTGTAAGTGACTTGCTCATGTTTACACAGGTAGTCAGTGTCAGAGCCAGAATTCAAATTTGGATCATAGAACTCCAAATTCAACTTTGTTCCCATTACATGTAAGTCTAACCAGGTATGTACTGGTGACTTGGCATAATAAGTAAACATGCTTACCACAGGCTGAACAAATACCTCACTGAAAAAGCTTTCTTTTAGAGGCAGCTGGTGGTGTAGTGGATAGAGCCCTGGGCCTGGAATCAGGAAGTCCCAAAGTTCTAATACAGCCTCAGATACTTACTAGCTATGTGACCCTGGGCAAGTCATTTAACCTCTTGGTGGCTCAGTTTCCTCATCTGTAAAATGGAAATAATAACAGCACCTATTACTCAGGGTTGTTGTAAGGATGAAATGAGATAATAGTTTAAAAAAAAACCAAACAACACTTAATTAGCCCAGTGCCTGGCATATAGTAGGTACTATATACATGGTCATTCCCTTCTCTTTCCTTCTCCAAGGAAGTGGCAAAGAATATATGTTGAGTGTTAACAACAAGATACATGTAGCTGAACTAAGCTTCATTTGCCTTATACAGACCAGACTAGATTTGTCTTCATTCTGTTTCTTTACATAGGTATTTTGTTATGATTTCCACCAAAATCTAGACTTATATCCGCAGTAGGCAACAAATGAATAGATTGTATTTCTGTTTATCACTTATTTTCCCAACCTAATGTTTGGAATAAAATATTTTATTTAAATAAATTTTTGCTTTAATTTAAATGACTAGTGAGAAAGTTTGCATTTCCCCAGTCTTCTGCAACATACCAGAGATCCAGATTTAACAAAATAGTTTAATTTACCCTTTCGCCAAAGTAAAAAGCCCAGTTCAACAAACAAAATGAATGGCTCTAAGAATAGAAGTATAAGCAACCAGCCTGCTTCTTGTTCTTACCTGCCATAGACATTATTCAGCATTAACCTATGGATTATGTAAATTGTTCTACAAAATGAGAATTATAATAGTTTATGAACCTCCTTTAAATTGCTTTTAAGGTAATTGCTACATAAGAAAATCAAAAGTTTGTTTTTAGAGTTTTGTTAGTCTCTCATAAATTATGAGGAAATAAAACGAGTTTCTGAAAACATTTTTCCTATGCTTTTTGTTATAGGGGTCTAGATTTTATGAAAATGAGCTCAAAAAAGAAAAGCAAGTAAACCAACGAATTGAAAATATGATGCAACAAAAATCTCAAATTACCACCCAGCAGCTCTGGAAAGCACAATTACAGGTAATAATGAAATTGTTGTTATTTAATCATGGTTAGTATGTACTTTGAGGATGGGGAAGAGTTAAGGAGAGAACAACACATACTTCCTGCTGTTGTTGCCATTATATGATGCAGTATGTTCAAGTATTGTCTGACAAAGATGACTTTTATCTAATGCCCTTTAAATTAGGAAGCAGGAGATTGGACCAGGCTACATGGTATATTAGTATCTTGAGAGAGTTTATTTAGGAAAAGCATCCAGACAATTATCTCTTCAGATCTAATCCACAGAGAAGCTTTTTTGTCAACATGAAATGATTAAAATTTCAATTTACATAATAAAATCTGTGTCTTGTGATATAAGCACTAGAGTTGAGGATTTTTAAAAATCAAAATATGTTGTGTTCTTCATTGCTTGGGTGACTCTTTCCACTATAGCAAGCCCTTTGCCTGGCATCTTAGAATTTCTGCACCTAAAATGAAAGGCGTGCCTGATAGAGAAAACTTCTCTTGCACTCCCCTATTATGAATGAATAAAAAAGCATTTATTAAGTCCTTACTGTATTCTAAGTCCACGCATGTATGAATATGAAAAGTAAGACAGCCTCTACCCTCAAGAAACTTAAATTTCATGTATAAACATGAATTATTATTTATTATTTTAATTTATTTATTAATTATAATTAATTAATTATTAACAATTAGCATTTCATGTTAAACAACATGTATATAGTATGGTGGTGACCAGGTTAGAAAAGTCACAGAGTCGATGAGTGGAGTTGTACAGCAAATGATTGTCCTGTCCTGTCCTTCCAACAGCAAAATGTTGATTTAATTACTATGGTTACAGTAAAAGGGGGGAAGCATGTTGGGGGATGTGTGTGGAAGAAGGAGTGCAACATGACAGATGGGAAGCTGGCTGGGAGAGTTCTACTGTAAGGGTTCCCTTTGCAGTTTATTCTTTTTCTTTTGTAGTAATAATGATAATGATAATCTTGTGAATATTCATGGTTGTGCATTAAAAAAAACTTTAAAGTGTGTTGATGATGTCAATTAAGATATAAATTTTTAATAAGATACAACAATGTCAAATTTTGATTATGGTTAAAGTTGACTTTTTTTACAATTTTCTTTTTTTTGTTGTTGTTATTCTGAACTTGACAAACCCCAACAAACATGAGCATTTTCATATATTAAAAAAAAACACAAAAAAGATAATTGTATATTAAACCATGAATTTCCATTATGTAATTTTTTACATTATACATGCTTTTTAATAAAAGATTTAATAAATTAGATATGTTAGTTTTAGAGCTGTCCTGCTTGTCTGTGTCTCCTTTTGAACTTCTTTTCTCTTCTGTTCATTAAGTGTTTTAATTATGCTCCTTTTTTTTTTTTTGGTGGGGGGAGGAAAGCATTACTATTGTTAACTCATCTCCTCTTCAAATCATCCCCACCTCAGATTTAGAAAAAGCAAAAAAAAAACCAACAATTTCCCATGTACCAAATAAGCATAGTTTGGCAAAATAAATCCACACATCAGCATTTCTCATTTTGCAGTTCTAGTCCACCACCTCATAGTCAGGACGTATGAAATGGGCTTCATCATTGGTATTCCAGAGTCATGCTTAATCACTGCATTGATCAGAGTTCTTAAGTCTTTCAAAATTAGTTTTCTTTATAATATTTATAAAATGTTCTCCTTATTCTGCTCACTTCATTCTGCATCAGTTCATATAAGCTGTCATAGATTCATCTGAATCAATCAATCAATATTTATTAAGTACCTTCTGTGTACCAGGCACTGTTCTAACTACTGGAATCTGTCCTTTCCATAATTTCTTAAAGTGCAATGGTAATATTCCATTGCATTTGTAAATCATAATTTATTTAGCCATTCCTCATTTAATGAGCACCTCCTTAAGTTTCCAGTTTTCTACTCCAACAAAAATTATTGCTATAAATATTTTAGTGCATATGAGTCCTTTTTTTCTTTCTTTGATTCCTTTGGATTTTATAGCAGTATTGGTATTGCTGTGTCAGAGAGTATGTATAGGTCAGTGACTTTGGAGGTATAGTTCCAAATTACTTTCCAGAATGTGTTGACCAATTCACAACTCCACCAGTAGTCTGTTAGTGTACCTGTGCCTGTTCTTTCATATGCCCTCTAACAATTGTCCTTTTTTTTTTGATCATGTTTGCCAATTAGGTAAGCATGAGGTAGAGCTAAAGAGTTGTTTTAATTTGTATTTCTCACTATTGGTGATTTGGAAGATTTTTTTCATATGGTTGCAAAAAATTGATCTTTTTGTAAACAACATAGGCTGATCTTTTCATAAAAACTAATAATCACAATTGTAAAAATACCAATACTGTATTTTGGATAATTTGGGAAAATTTATTTTCATGTAAATCAGAGACAAAATGGAATATGTAATACATTTGTCACAAAATCTACATTTAATGTGTTCTAACTCCAAATCTAGCCATGATATGATTATTTTAAAATTTTATGCAATCAACATTCTTGGGCTTTTGTATACCTTATTGTTATTTTTGCCTTGTAATCTTATTTTAGCTAATGATTTTTAAATTATTTCTTTCAAAGTATTATACGCATTAGTATTACCTCTATTGAATAAATAACAAATTATATATTCTTAAAAGAACTTATTGTCTGAAAGAACTGGAAACATGTTCTGTTATGAAACAAAACATAGGGTTGTTAAATATCTGTTATTTTGTAAGTATTATGTGTAGGTTTTCTTGTGATTTTTGAAAGGAGATTTGCAAGAATATATGTTAATTATTGGTTCTATTTGTTGGACTTTCTCTGAAGGAAAGTATGCAAATGGTAGAGGACTGAAAACAAGTGGAGTAGAGCTATATGTCAGATGTGTAGGATCTATGAGAAAGAGGTACCTGGGAAAGAACTCGGAAGCAAACTTCTCAGATAAAAGTCTCATTTCCAAGATATACATTCAAATTTATAAGATTAAGAGCCATTCCCAATTGATAAATTGGCATTAGATATGAATAGGTAGTTTTCAAAGAAAGAAACACAGGCTGTTAGTGACCACATGAAAAATGTTCTAAAGCACTAATAATTAGAGAAATTCTCATTTAAAATAGCTTTGAAGTTCTTACCTCCCACTTCATCGTATTGGCAAAGATGACAAAAAATGAAAATGACAAATGTCAAGTCGATAAACATTTATTAACTGCCAACTGTGTGTTAGGCATTATGGTGTTAGGTTGGGGAAAAAGTGATACATTAATGCATTATTGGTGGGGATGTAAACTGTTTTCGCTGTTTTGGAAAGCAGTTTACAACTGAAAAGGTTATAGTTTATGTGCATACCCTTTGATCCAGTGATACCACTATTAGGTCTATAACCCAAAGGTATCAAAGATCAAAGAAAGATAACTTTTCCCCTATCTATAGATCTGAGAAAGAATTTTTTGCATGTTTTTTTTTTCTAGTTTATGATGTGACATTTTATAGCTAAGTCATGTAGCTTATTTTGGTCTGAGGTGTGAAGTGTTGTTCTAAATCTAATTTCTTCCAGTACTGCTCTCCAATTTTCTCAGCAGGTTTTGTCAAAAAGTCCTTATCCCAGTAACTGAAACTAAATTCCATAGTTCTTTCTTTGGATGTGGATAGCATTTCCCATCACGAGGCCTTTGGAGATGTCTTAGATCCTTGTGTTGCTGGGAAGGGTTGTTTATCAATATTAGTCATTGCACAGCGTCGCTGTTATTGTGTACAATGTTCTTGGTTCTGCCATATTTTTTTTTTTTTGAAAATTATTCCTTTGCACCTGAGTTCAAATCTGACCTCAGACACTAAACACTTAGTAGCTGTGTGACCCAGGGCAAGTCACTTAACCCCAATTGCCTCACGAAAGAAAGAAAGAAAGAAAGAAAGAAAGAAAGAAAGAAAGAAAGAAAGAAAGAAAGAGAAAAGAAAAGAAAATTATTCCTTTGTAGCATAATTTGAGATCTCTCAGGTCTCTTCATTCCCACTTTTTTCATTATTCTTCCTGGGATTCTTGTGCTTTCATATGACTTTTATTATTATATTTTCTAGTTCTATAAAGTAGTCCTTTGGTAGTATGATGGTACGCTATTAAATAGGTAAATTAATTTAGGCAGTATTGTCATTTTGCTCATCCTACCCATGGGCAGTTATTATTTCTCTCACTAATTAGGTCTATATTTCTGTACTTGTATTTCTGTAGTTCTGTGTATCCTGGTTTAGACTTCGAAGTATTTTAAGCATTCTGTAATTATTTTAAATAGAATTTCTCTTTCTATCTCTTCTTGCTAAGTTTTATTGGTATTATACAGAAATGCTGATGATTTGTGTGTATTTATTTTATATCTTGTAACTTTGCTAAAGCTATTCATTGTTTCAATTAATTTTTAGTTGACTATGTTTCTTTAAGCTCACCATCATATCTGCAAAAAGTCATGATTTTGTTCCTTCTTGTGCTTATTCTTTCAATTTCTTTTTATCTTATTGCTATAGTCAGCATTTCTAGTATTTTGTCAAATAGAAGTGATGACAGTGAGCATCCTTGTTTCACCGCTGGTTTTGTTGGAAAAAGGATTCTGATTTTTCCTTGTTACATATACTGCTGGCTCATGGTTTTAAATATATACTAATCATGTTAAAGAAAGGCCTGTTTATTCCTATGTTTTTCCTTTCTTTTTTTTAGCAGAAATAGGTATTGTATTTTGTCACAAGGTTTTTCTGTATCTGTTAGTCATGTGATTTTTGTTGTTTTTGTCATTAATGTGGTTAATTAAGTTTATACTTTACTTAATATTAAACCAACCCTGTATTCTTAGTATGAATCTAACATGGTCATAGTGTATAATCTTTGTGATATTTTATTTTAACCTCTTTGTTAATTTTTTAAAAACATTTTTACATCAATATTCACAGTCTTCTTTTTCTGTTTTTATTCTCCTTGGTTTACATATGTAGACCATATTTGTGGCATGCAAGAATTTTG